ATATTGGCCTGTGTCAGTCATGTTTGCAGCGTGTCGGAGTGTAATAAAGCCTCTGAGTCAGGCTAGGGTTTATTTACACTGCCAGATAAATAAATTATTCACTGGGTCCTCAGAGACACGGGCTGCAAGCTGCGCTGTTAGAAGGGAGAGGCGGCGCCAGGTATATAGGAAATGCAGCCAGAGGCTCAGGTGTGAGAGCATCAACATATCTGTGGGATGGCAACAGGCAAACATGGAAATGTTTTATTGTAGGAGCAGGGAGAGCGGAAAGTGTGGAGTGGAGGCACTGTGATGAGTGCAGGGAAAGTAGACAGTGGGGACTGGTGCACTATGATGGGAGTAATGAGTGTGAAGGTAAAGGGGGCAGGCTTGAACAACGGAAACTTTGTGAAACAGGCAGCCATAGTGGATACACTGTGCCGGGTGAATGGAATGGTATGTAATAGGTGGAGGCACTGTGCAGTAGGTAAGCGGTGATGGCACTGTGCCGTGTGAATGGACAGTGGTAGGTAAGCGGTGATGGCACTGTGCCGTGTGAACGGACAGTGGTAGGTAAGCGGTGGAGGCACTGTGCCGTGTGAATGTATAGTGGTAGGTAAGGGGTGGAGGTACTGTGTCGGGTGAATGGATAGTGGTAGGTAACGAGTGGAGGCACTGTGGTATGGACACTGTGTAGGGACATGAAGTCGGCAGTCGGCAGTGTTTGCATTATCTGGATAATGGTCACATACATTGTACATAGGTTTTAACTTTACTACCCTACCCCACCCCCCCAGGCCTGTCAGAGCCTACAAAAAGTGAAAAGTATTGCACACAGCGGGTACAGAGCAGAGTATATGAAGAAACAAGAAAATATTATTCTTATTTATAAAATGCCAACAAATTCTGCAGCGCTGTACAATGGGTGGACTAACAGACACGCATTTGTAACCAGACGAGTTGGACACACAGGAACAGAGGGACTGAGGGCCCTGCTCAATGAGCTTACATGCTAGAGGTAGTGGGGTATAGTGACACAGTAACAGAGGGATTGAGGCCCTGCTCAGTGAGTTTACATGTTAGAGGGAGTGGGGTATAGTGACACAGTAACAGAGGGATTGAGGGGCCTGCTCAGTGAGTTTACATGTTAGAGGGAGTGGGGTATAGTGACACAGTAACAGAGGGATTGAGGGCCTGCTCAGTGAGTTTACATGTTAGAGGGAGTGGGGTATAGTGACACAGTAACAGAGGGATTGAGGGCCTGCTCAGTGAGTTTACATGTTAGAGGGAGTGGGGTATAGTGACACAGTAGCAGAGGGATTGAGGGTCCTGCTCAGTGAGTTTACATGTTAGAGGGAGTGGGGTATAGTGACACAGTAACAGAGGGATTTAGGGCCCTGCTCAGTGAGTTTACATGTTAGAGGGAGTGGGGTATAGTGACACAGTAACAGAGGGATTGAGGGCCTGCTCAGTGAGTTTACATGTTAGAGGGAGTGGGGTATAGTGAAACAGTAACAGAGGGATTGAGGGCCCTGCTCAGTGAGTTTACATGTTAGAGGGAGTGGGGTATAGTGACACAGTAACAGAAGGATCGAGGGCCAGGTCAGTGAGTTTACATGTTAGAGGGAGTGGGGTATAGTGACACAGTAACAGAGGGATCGAGGGCCAGGTCAGTGAGTTTACATGCTAGAGGGAGTGGGGTAATGTGACACAAAAGGTAAAAGTAGGGTAGAAGAGTAGTTTGCCAGGCTAGTGTTCATTGAGAGCTTGGTGTTTTGTTTTGATGACAGTTCCTGGAGAGGAATCAGGGTGCGAGGAGGTAAAGCTGTTAACAGTTTAATGGATTTGGTTTCCAAAAGAAGAGAGTATTTTTTGAAGCAGTGGAGACTGGGTGAAAGTCTAACAGAGAGGGGAAGAGCATTCCATAGGAACGGTGTAGTCCTAGAGAAGTCATGAAGGTGAGCATCAGAGGTGGGAGTATGAACAGAGGTTAGGTCTCCAGCAGAGTGTAGGGGCCTAGATGGGACATACTGTGAATTAGTGAGAATAAGTAGGTCAGAGCCGCATTATGTAGAGATTTGTAAGTGAGTACCAGAATCCTGCAACAAGAGATTTTAAGACAAACCTTAAACACGAAGACCTAAAGGGTCTAGCAGTGGAATAGCTCTAAGAGCAGCGGTGTCAAAATGGATGATTTGTCTACACAGGTCAGGCATCGCTTCAATAACAGTGATCGGACAACAGAATGAATCCAGATATCCTAGAAACAGGAGTCAGGCAGGGTACTCAGCAAAAAACACACACTCATATTCTGCGTGTTTAATTCAAAAATAGAATTTATACATTGAATCCCTCAGCAGACAGGGAGAAATGCACTCTGTTTATCCCAGAAGGAAATATTACCGGATATCTCCTTCACTCCACCTGTAAAAACCCCAGCAAGACCATCATTTAGAAATATTTGTTCTCCAAAGAAATAAGTTAAAATTCCAGAAGAAGCACACAGGGAACCTATTGAAAAGAAAAAGAAAAGCAATTCATTTGAATTCTGCAGCATTAAGACTACAATAATATACAATAATAACAAAGTGATTACAATATTTAGAAAGCGTTTTCCAGAATAGGCGCAATTAGACAAACAGTGAACTGAAAACAAAATAAGTTTGGCTAAAATAATTGAGCTGTAACTAGAATGGATTTGGAGAAAGTTCCCAATGCAGCACCAGCTAATACGACCAGCTCCCATCACTATGAGAGAATAGTCTCACCTCTTTCACTAGTTGTGGTGTTGGGTACGGGGCCTGAATCTGAACTAAATCCTCGTGGATTCATTCTTCCTCACCTACCTGGGACACTCCATATTCTTTCTATTCTCCTGCCCTATTTGAGTACAGAGTTCGTGGAGTGTGAGTTAGTATACTTTGCTCCACTCTCTGTATATTGTCATATGGTGAAGACCATACAGGGACTCTATAGGCAGTCGCCCAGACCACTTCAACATCTCACTGTCCCCCTGATTTTAACCCTGGAGGACCGGCAAGGACTACATTCCTGGGAACCCGGCTATTTCATTCAGATGGTCTCACAGACACTGTCTGATTTGCCGCATGTGCACACTAGTCTCCCAATGCTCTCCTATGGAAAAACATTGGAATTCCTGAGATCATCAAGACTGATGATCTCAGCTAAGGAGTCGGGGCTAGTCGCGGAGAGAGCTGCAAGTTGTGGGAGAAATGGTTAGTAAACACCTTTTTACTCTTTACGTGTGGGGACACTATAGTGTTAGGAATATACATTTGTATGGCCAACGCTATAGTGTCCCCTAACCAGAAATTACTGTAATTATACCAAAGCCATAAAGCCTTTGCTGCAAGCGCTGTGGGCAGGCTGTTTCACAGATTGGATGTGCCAAGTGTTTGCATTTGAATACATGTAACAGTAACAACGAGACACTTACCATACACACACTGTCTGTCCTGCGCTCACACTTTGAACCCGAGTGACCTCATGCACTCCTTGTGAGCCTCGATCAGCTCCTGGCAATGCTCCTCCCCCTTCTCGATGATGCTGCAGACAGACACAAGGATTATAGCATGGTGTGTGTATATTACTTACATCAGCTGCGAGTGGTATTTATAACAAGCCAGTCTATATATTACATTATTACGGGTCCAATGCCAGTTATCTCATAGCAGAGGATTATGCTCACTGAGGCAAGCAGTCTCCATCTCCTCCATACCCTCACCCAGAGCGCTGTACCTTCCTACCCTCACCCAGAGCGCTGTACCTTCCTACCCTCACCCAGAGCGCTGTACCTTCCGACCCACAACCAGAGCGCTGTACCTTCAGACCCACAACCAGAGCGCTGTACCTTCAGACCCACAACCAGAGCGCTGTACCTTCAGACCCAGACCTCTGTATAGTCATACCCACACACAGCACTCTCTACCTTCATACCATCACTCAGCGCTCTCTACCTTCATACCCTCACCCAGACCTCTGTACCCTCATACCCACACCCAGACCTCTGTACCCTCATACCCACACCCAGACCTCTGTAGCTTCAGACCCAGACCTCTGTATAGTCATACCCACACACAGGGCTCTCTACCTTCATACCATCACTCAGCGCTCTCTACCTTCATACCCTCACCCAGACCTCCGTACCCTCATACCCACACCCAGACCTCTGTACCTTCAGACCCAGACCTCTGTATAGTCATACCCACACATACCCACACACCTCTGTATAGTCATACCCACACACTACCTTCATACCATCACTCAGCGCTCTGTACCCTCATACCCTCACCCAGACCTCTGTACCCTCACCCAGACCTCTGTACCTTCGTATCCACACCCAGACCTCTGTACCTTCATACCCTCACTAAGTGCTCTTTACCCTCATACCCCAGAGCTCTGAACCCTTATACCTTCATACCCCAAGGCTCTGTACCTTCATACCATCACTCAGCGCTCTCTACCTTCATACCTTCACCCAGAGCTCTGTACCTTCATACCCTCACCCAGAGCTCTGTACCTTCATACCCTCACCCAGAGCTCTGTACCTTCATACCCTCACCCAGAGCTCTGTACCTTTGTGCAGTTTGTTTGCACAATGTACAAGGTCACTGTATGACTGTTTGGGGGATCTCGAAGGATTGGCGGTATTAAAGGTCTCCTAATAACATTTATTTCCTGGAGCATGCAGTAATACTCACCAGGCATCACGAGCTTTCTTTGTCTCAGGACACGCACAGCATGGTTTCAAGGGCTTCTTTTCCTGGGATCCCGCGGTCGGGGCTTCTGACTCACAACTGGCAGCCGCCAAACTGGACATCTTGAGATGTTTGGTTCACCTGCTCTCTCTGCAGTAATAAGGGAGCCACACATTAACAAAAAACATAACTTTGGGAGCCAAATAAAGGCAGAATAAAACCCCTTTTTCATTACAGATTACACGTTTTAGTACATTCCAATGGGGAGAGGATAAGTAGCAGTAATGTGAGAAATGGATATGGCCTGAAAGTACTGACTGGTGCATCCTTAAAGGGACACTAAGCACAAGACAAGTTTATGCAGTCTTAGCCACACCTCCCCTGGCTTAGCCTTCTGAACAAGAGTCTAAAGATTTTAGCTTCCCTTGTTGAGGAATGGGTTTAATTTAGAATGTCTTCTATCCTGCTCTGTTAATTGCCTGCAAGAGCCTGCAGCGGCCTCCTGTATGTGATTATAGTTAAAGTAACCAAGCAGAAAAATAAATGAAGTAGATCTAATTGATAGTTTTAAAGGCACATTCTAAGCCAGGGGTTCCCAACACAGTCCTTGAATACCCTCAACCAGTCCAGGATTTAGGGATTACCCTGTTGTGTCAAGTATTTTGTGGGGTTTTTTTTTCTTGTAAAAACACGTTAGACACAACTGGGTAATCCCTAAATCCTGGACTGGTAGGGTTTTGGTGTACAGATCATGCTTGCAGAGTCTCTTCTAAATTCTCTGCCGTTTAGGCGGAGACTCGCACAACTTCCATTAAAAAAATGGTTTCTTTTTCACCCAGATTTTACAGCACCGTACAGCAAACGGCTTTACAAGTTCCTATTTATTACCAATGAGGGCACTCTGTTTTGTCTGAGGAACCAGGAAATGTAATCACAATAAATGGAGTCTCTCTTGAATTAGGAAGATGAAGAGCTCAGTCTTTAGGAACGTCTGTGCTCAAATGCCTGTTACACAACACCCATATTCAAGGAAATGGCAAGCGCCCTGCGTGGTAGCCTTTTCTTTAAACACACAGTGTCTTATCGCACACAGACGACAAGTTACACGATTTGAGAATACGTCATTTAAACGTTTAACAGTGTTTTATCTGAATCATCACCGCACTTTCACTTTGCATACTCGTTAAACAGAAAGTCCTGCAATTTGCTGGAGCAGAATACACAGAGTGCACACTTTGTATACCATTCTACCTCTGTAATAGTGTGACACTGTCCTAACGCTCTCCGATGTTATTTCACACAACTTGCAAGCAGACTCGCAGCCAATCAGGTCATGGCGTGGTGCGATTATCAGAGGCACGGTAAAGGTGTGTCAGCCTAAACACTGGTTGTGTGTACGATCTACCGAATTTCACAAAAGAACAATTTGTTGAACTTTGGAGAACTGTTTCACAAGGCTAGCTCTACATGTGTTAGAATCCACATCGAACAGGCTACTCCACAGTCATCGAGCCCACTGCGTGCAAGCAAAGCGAGAAATGTGCAACCCAAACTCTAAGCACATAAAGAGTTAATCCAGCGCAGATCAGGATTCTCAGCCCCCCCAGCCCATACAAGCCTCTCTGCTTCCAGCCCTATACAATGCAAGGCACGTTGGCACTGTGCCAGGATCACAGTGGCAGGTATGCTGGCCTGGGCGTTATTACCCTGCAAGCAGACTGCTGGATACAGGCCCACACGTCATCCTTGCAGACCCTGCAGGGATTCAGTTATAGAGCTATATTTGGATCTGTGACAGCAGGATATACGAGCAAGCAGTCCCGGCCATATGTAAATAGTAACATGAGAGAGACTGCCAGGAAGATACCAGCTCAGGCCCGAAATTCACTTCTCTGTTCACCGTGTCCTTCCCACAATGTCACAAACTGTGTCACCAGGGCCTCCCCAGCAGCTATAATCTCATAACAATCCCCGACACCTTACGGACTGTATAACTGATCCAAGAATACAGTGCAGCCCCCCCATCTACAGTATCGCAGCACATTCCTCTATTAAACTTAGAATAGCACACTCCTCCTACCCAACGTATTGTAGCAGGGATCTCCCCACCCAATATATTGCTGCAAGCCCTCCTGTTGGAGGTAGCACAGCACCCACTGCCCATTTTATTGTGTGCCATTATATTCACAGACAACCCCACACCAGCTCCCCCTGGTTATATTCACAGACAACCCCACACCGGCTCCCCCTGGTTATATTCACAGACAACCCCACACCGGCTCCCCCTGGTTATATTCACAGACAACCCCACACCGGCTCCCCCTGGTTATATTCACAGACAACCCCACACCGGCTCCCCCTGGTTATATTCACAGACAACCCCACACCAGTTCCCCCTGGTTATATTCACAGACAACCCAACACTGGCTCCCCCTGGTTATATTCATATAAAACCCCACACTGGCTCCCCCTGGTTATATTCACAGACAACCCCACACCGGTTCCCCCTGGTTATATTTCACAGACAACCCCACACCGGTTCCCCCTGGTTATATTCACAGACAACCCCACACCGGTTCCCCCTGGTTATATTCACAGACAACCCCACACCGGTTCCCCCTGGTTATATTCACAGACAACCCAACACCGG